AATATTGAAATTGTTGGATAAAATCATTTCCTAATAATATATCACATTCTAACTTATTATAATTATATATTTTATTTATTATAACTTGTTTACTACCAAGTATTATATTAACTTTTTTAGCACTATTAATTATTTGAGTACTTTATCCAGTCATTCCTGTTATTTTTATTTTACTGTTTTTACTCCATGATTTTATTAAGAAATTTTTATAAATTGTTATATCACTTCCTGTATCAATTAAGGCACAAGTTGTTATATTTGTTTCTACTATAGTAACTTGTATATATACTGCTAATGAAAAACTTATTTGATTATTCATCCACTTCCTATTTTACATAATGTAGTTTGTTCTTTATGAGTTATATATAATCCTTCTCTTTTTATACTATAATCTTCTAATCCATTTAAGAAACTCATTCATAATAATATATGAGGTTCAATATCCATACTTTCATCCAAATAACATGGTACTAAAAGATCAATCCCACCTATTTTTATGGGTACCTTTACCTTTAATTCTGTAGTGTATAGTTGTCCATCAAAATTCCTGTATTCATATGGTTCTATCTTGTAAGTTATTAATCCTTCATTTTTATTTGCAACCATATGACATTCACCAGCTCCTGTATCTATCAATATATTTGGTCCTTTTATATACCTTCTACCATTGAAATATTTTCCTTCTATTTTCATATTTCCAATATTTCCATGAGGTTTTATTTCTTTTATACCACTAGTTTCTCCTAAATATTCTTTTTTATTAGGTAGTCTAAGACTTTTTGATTTTTTTTATCAACCTTCCATTATGAAATGTTATTTTATAATCTTCTTCTTTGCTTAACTCTGTAATTTCAGGCTTATTGGGATAAGATTTATTTGTTTGTTTGGTTCCACTATTTTACTAATATCCTTACATTCCTTATAAATTTCTATATATGGTTTATTAGAATAAATATTCCCATAATTAGAATTAGTAAATGTGTATAATGCCCTATATTCCATAGTCATAATTTGATCTCCTGGTTCCATTATATCATTTCTATGTAATTTGAAATGTAATCCAAAGACTTCATTAAAGTTTTTATCTTTCAATGAGACACAATATTTTGGGTAACAAGTAAATATTAAATTTTGATATACTAAATTTCCTTCTATAGTTCCTAAATGACCATCTTCCAGATTTATAATTCTTCCATCATGTAGACTTACAATTAATGGTGAATCTATTCCTTCCCTAAATAAGGATTTAAACATTATTTGTATTTCTGCTAAATAAACATATTGGATCTTTTCACTATGTTTGTTATTTATTTTTGATAATAATTCTGATACTGTATTTTTTGTTAAAAAGTTTATTTTATGTGTTCCTTGAGTAGTCCTAACATCTAAAATTTTTTCAATCTTATGGTATTCATTTATTGCTATTCTTTCTCTTATCCATATTCTATCTAGAATTTCCCATTTTCCTATCTTCAAATCTAAGGATAACTTTTGTATTTTCTTAAATTTATTATTATCAAAAGTTACTTTTAATCCATAACCTTCTATTCCCTCATATTCTTGGATTTCTATGTTATTATTTTCTATTTCTTCAATTTCTCTATTCAGATTTTGATCCATAATCTTCTGAATTTGCTTCACTTATAAATACTTCCTGATTATTATAGTGTTCAATATTAGATATTTCACTTAATTCACTTTCTATTTCAAAATAATCCTTTTGTAATATTCTCAATTTTTTTTGTGCAGTCAGGACTTATATGGCCTATTTCTCTACAATTCCAACACTTACATTGTTTTTTTATCTTTCTTATAAGTTTTATTTTTCTGTATATTATTTTTCTTTTTAGAATATTTCCTTCTAGATTTTATGTATTTTTTTTCCTAAAGTTTCTGTATTTTTTAAACTTTCTGTTTTTATATTTTCTTTTATTTCTTTTTTCAAAATTACATCCCCATCTTGTAGGTTTTTCCATATCTTCACAACATATTCTAGTTAATTTTCCTGATTTTTTTCAGTAATTGTCTTTGTTGACATATATATGTGCAAGTCTTTCAAACAAGAATTTTATTCTTGATCCTAATGTTCTAGGTATTCCTATATTTTTCAAATTCTATTTTAAAATATATTCCTCATGAATCTGGTAATTTATTATAATACATATCTTGATATACTTCTTGATTCTCATTACTATAAAATTGAGTATAATAGTATTCTTTGAATTCACAAGTATATTTTTTAATTTTACACATATCACAAATTGTTAAATTAATTAACTTAATTCTTGCATTATCTTTTTCTCGTATTGCTTCTTCTTCATAGTTTCTTAACCAATTTTCTCCTAAGAATTCATCTGCAATATATTCTACTAATCTTTCTATTCCTAGTTTATCTGACTTTATTATTTCTGTTTGTACATTTTTTTTATTAATGATTTTGTATCACTACTAATTCCTTCCCACCAATTTTTAACATTTCCTTCAAAAGATGCAATTAAAAAATCTATTCTCCTTTCAGTATTTTCCCATGTATCATCTTTATTATATAAAATGAATAATATCATTAAGTCTATCCAAGTTATTAAGGCTTTCTTAGTATCTATTTTGCAATCTAAGTCTAATTTTTTTCCTCCATGATTAACAGGTTTATCATAATTATTATTTAATTCAAATCTATTACTATATTTATTTCATTTGAACGGTTGTTTATCTCTTATTTTATCATAAAATTGTCTATATGGTTTATTATATATCGGAGCATAACTTTCATATGGATTTATTGATTCTTGTTTAGAGGTTCTTACGGGATTAGGTCTTCCTCCAGTATTCATTAAGATTTAGTATTCATCATCTATACTTTCTAAGCTTAAATGATCAAAATTATCTATAAGTAGATCTAATTCTTCATTCATCTTCTTTGTCTTGATTTTCTTCAATTTTTTGTTTACCTAACATTTTTTTTTCTAGATTCCTCTTCTTCTATTATTTTAGGTAATATATTTTTTCTAAACTCATCATCCATGCTTCCTGTTTCTATTATTATATTTTTTCTTTCAATATGTTTTTTCCCTATTCTGGTTATTTCTTTTTCTATAAATTTTTTATCTATTCTATTATTTTTTTCTTCATTTTCTTTTAATTTTCTGACTTCAAGTTTCAATATATTTATATCATTTCTTGCTTCTTTTATTTCATTCTTTATTTCTTGTACATCATTTATTAGTGTTCTTATTAAATGTCTTAATTCTTCCATATGATCACTGATTGACATTTTCTTTTATCGATTTTTTGATTGAGAATAATAAAATTTTATATACTCAGCGTTTTTACAATCTCTTATCATTTTATCATACTTTTGTTTTATCACTTCAATATTTGTTAGTTCTTTTAATTTTTCATAATATCTTGCTTTTTCTTTATACCTTTCTTGTTTTAATTTTAATATTTGCTTTTCTTGAGTTTTAGTTATATCTCCAGGTATTAATAATTCATCTAAAATTTTATTATTTATTAATCGTATTCTTCTTAACTTTCTTTCTAAAATATTTTTAGTTTCTTTTATTATACTTTTATGATGATTCAAATATTTCTCTATGGTATAATTCATTTTCAAATATTTCGATAATTATTTCATATGTACGTCTATCTTTGATAACTCTTACAATTAATTTATGTAATATTTGTTCCTTTATTTCTCTAGGTAAATTTCTAGTTATATGTAATGTTATTATTTTTAATTTATTAGGGATAGGGTTGAAAAATATATAACATCTTTTTTCTTCAATACATTGATAATAATGATTTATTTTTATGATTTCCAAAATATATATATTTTTTTCAAATTAATATGAAATCTATTTCGCTCTGAATTTTTCCTAATATATATATATGCTTATATTCTTCAAATAATATCTTTTTAATTATTTTTTCTTTTAGTTCTAAAGGTAAATTTTTAATTGCTCTAAAAATTTCTAATACTTCTTTTATGTCTTTACTATATGTTCCAACTATATTATTTTCTTCTATATAGCCTTCTATATTAGAGCTATGTTTTACCTGATACCTTAGTCTATTTTTATAAGTTTCAATAATTTCTAAAATCATAAATTTTATTTATTTTCAATATCTCTTAGGGAATTTATTTTTATATATTTTCTCATGATCTCTCTGGCTCTGATACCAACGGGAGGGGTGCTACTATAAACGAACAAAAATCTAATAATCTAATAATCACAAATCTAATATTCTAATATTCTAAAAATTATTTTATTTTTGTTTTAGTTAATTTATTTGTTATTAAGCGTATATAAAATCTTAATGTAAGGTTAAAAACTAATTTTTTTTTATGTTTGTGGTAATCTATTTTTTATTGCTCTTCTCATAAATTTTTAAGTAATTCTTCAAAGTCTAGTAATGTCTGAGAATTTATAATATCAATATCTGTTATCATATCTATGTCTGTTCTAAAGGGTATATCGTATTTTGAGATATTTTTCTTCCTTTTTTCTAATTTATCTATGATATCTTGTTTATCTTTTATGATTATTGATCGTACAATTCCTTTAGCAAAATTTTCTAATAAGTTTTCTTTGAAACATTTTAATATTTCTTGTGATGCATATAATTGTTCTTGACATCCTATTTTATCAATTTCCTTTTCAAACTTAATTTCTTTTTTATTTTTAACAACCTTTTTTATATTATATGGTCCTCTCTTATATTTGGATTTTTCCATTTTATAATTATTCATTAATAATTTTTTCAATTTTTTTAAAAAAATTACTTGTTAATTTTTAAAGACTTAAACAGAAAATTTTTATTATGAAGTAGGTTGTTTTTAATATTTGTTTAAGGGTATTTTAGGTAGTTTTAAATGTTTGGAAAAGTCAAGGGTCATTATGGAAAATGACCTCTCCTATTTGGGTCAATTTCATGTATTTCCCCACCAACTATGTATTGTCTTATCCAACACATAGCAAATAATAAACAGGAAAGAGTTAAAGCATAGGACTATAATAATTTATCATCATCTTTACTTTATGGGATTCTCAATCTCACCATCTACACCAATTTGAAGTTATAATACTATTTAGCATCCAATTAACAAAACCCCTTTTTTATCAGCTTTGTCCTCTACACTTTTCTTCTTTTCCCAGTTAGAAGAAGGTCAAGTAGAAGCTTAAGAGAATGAACGATTGGGCAGCCCCGCTCATCGGAACAGCACTTTTTGCTTTCCTCTGTCCTGGATTGCTCTTCCAGCTTCCCGGGAAGCATAGGCCGGTCGATTTTTTGAATATGAAGACTAGTATACCCTCCATGTTGCTGCACACCGTTATCTTTGGTTTGCTCCTTATTCTGTTCCTTGTGATTCTTAATATACATCTCTTTGCCTAGATGTCGTTTCTGGTAAAATAGGTTAGACAGTACTATGAAAATTTATTTGTTGTAATATTGTCAAGAATGATCCCGGAAAGTAGAATGAGATTGACAGATAGTAATAAGTAAATCTTTTATTCAGTTAAGGTATGTATGTGTGTTGTTTTTCATGCACTTGGAATGAAGAAAGCGGATCGAGGAGTTTCGCTTTATCTTTTTATCAATTCTGATGGATTGTCGTCTTTTGATTTTCTAATATGATATATTTTTAGTCCATCATCTACCATCATTGTTGCTTTTAAGACTTTTTTTCTTTTTTCCTTTTCTTTTTTGAATATGAAGAAAAGGGTATTTCTACTTTTCACAATTTTTTTCTCTTCATTTTATCCTCTTCAATTCCCCTTTTTGGGAGGAAATTTTTGACTTGAAAAAGTGGATGTTCTTAAACAATGGTGTCAACCATTGAAAATTTGTTAAAGGTATATGAATTTTAGTATTTGCAAGAAACCACTAAATACTCTTGCAGACAAGAAAATTTCTTCATTATGAGTTTCTAATTTTTTAATTTTAGAATGGTTTATAAAATTTCTTTACAATTATTACGAGATCAGATGCTATTCATGGAGCCAAGGCTGGTCAGAGGAGAAATATATTATAGAATGACTGAATGAGTTTGACTTGTACAGACGAAAGGCTCGGCCCTTAGTGCCACGAGCTCGGCTCGTGCTTGTGGCTCATTGAAGCCGAGCTCATGGTTCGTTGCTTCGGCTCGTGGGGTCCCCTTTTTTTTTTTTTTTAAATAAAGAATAGAATAAAAAGTTTAAAAAATAAAAAGTGTTAAAAAATACAAATAATTTAATGAAAACAAGTTTTTATTTTTTTTATTTATATCATATTGTAATTTGTAATACTTTTTATAAAGTATAAAATATTTATATAATGAAAACGAATTATTTTTTGAAATACATTTACAAAAAATATATATTTTTAATTTCTTTTTAAAGTTAATAAAGAATAGAGTTTTAAAAATAAAAAGTGTTAAAAAATACAGATAATTTAACGAAAACAAGTTTTTATTTTTTTATTTATATCATATTGTAATTTGTAATACTTTTTATACAGTATAAAATATTTATATAATGAAAACAAATTATTTTTTGAAATATATTTACAAAAAATATATTTTTTTGATTTCTTTTTAACTCTCCTCCTTTATTCGGGTTTGTGACTGGTTACATCAATTTTAAGTAGGCGGAGTTAAAAATTATACACGAATAACTTGTTGTAACGTGTACAATTTTTTAAAGAAAATTAAATTTAACAATTAAAAAATAAAAAAATTTGATTAATATAATTAAATCAAATATCACTTATCTGACAACATGCAATTTCAGCATATTTATTTTGTAGTCGAAAATGAGTGTCCTGCTAATCCTTCACACATATTAATGTTTCCAAAACATCTTCTTTCAGTCGGTTCCTAACATTGGTCAAAACCTTTTTACCTGCACTAAAAGCAGACTCTGAAGCAACAGTGCTAACCGGAGGTGTCAATAGATTTTTCGCAATTGTAGAAACAATTGGCCAACGTCTTTCATACTTTCGCCAGAATTCAATTATTTCTTCTGAAGTTTTTTTAATTGTTCTGTCTGTTGGCATATTATGATTGAAATAATCAATTAATTTGGCAGGCATCACATTTTGAGTTTCGGCCGATGTTTGATGAGATGCAGATATAGACGACATGGCACTAGATGAACACATTGCATTTACATCATATCTAAATGTATTAATGCCTTGAAATAAATTCATTATTTCCACATCATCTTCTTCAGTTTCAGCAGAAGGAGTAGGTGCAGCAGAGGGTACCCGACTAACATTTGCACCCATTCTTTCTGCATATAAATCATACATTCCACATAATGTTTGCTCTAAATTCTTATAAGTGATAGGTGTATCAAGTATTAAAGCTTTATTGATTTGATCAATTACATATTTAGTTCCCGAAATATTATATCGAGGGTCCATTGTGCATGCTAAAGGAAATAACATAGGCAGTTCTTCCCAATATTTTCTAAACTTTAATTCCATAACAATTAAAATTTTGCTAAAAGTATGATCATTTTTATATTTATGGAATGTTCTTGCAATTATATAAAGGCGTTCAAGCACCATACAGCTTGTGGGATAATAAACGCCGGATAAAATCTTTGTGGTTTCATAAAAAGATGTCAAAAATCGTTTAACTTTCAAAGCTAAAATTCAATCGGATTCATTTAACATACCATCATCATCACTTCTAACATGTCTATTGTTATAAAAGTCAGTTATTAAATTTTTGAAACCTTCCCATGATTTTAATAGCAAGTACGTAGAGTTCCATCTATGACCTACGTCGCTAACAAATGTTTTAGCAGTCATCACCCCTAGTTCGACACAAAAATCTTCAAATGCTTGTTTTCTAGTAGGAGAGATCGTAATATATATTAATGCATTCCTAATCCTTTGAAGTTCATCCTTTATATATTTTAAACCATCTTGCACAATTAAATTCAAGATATGACTGCTAATATATTTTGATAATAATGCTATTATCAAAAGTAAAAGATCGAATTTTACTCTCACAATGATATTCTCTAACAATACTGATAATAGCATTATTTATATTATTAGCATTGTGAGGAAATTCAATAATTCTAAAAGCAATAATTTTCTTATGCATGCACCAAAGTGGGTCTATATAGTGTGCGGTTGCAGCTATATATGCTCTTTTATTAACCCCTTCCCATATATCAGAAGTTAAGGATATAACACTCTCATTTTGTTGCAAATTCATAATTAATTGTTGTTTTGAATTATTGAAATAATTTATTGTATCGGCACGAAGAGTGTTTCGACTTACCCCAACGTACCTCGGTTGTAGATATTCTTTCACGAACGAGACGAAGTGTTGGTTGTCTGCAATAGCCAGAGGCAACTCAGTGGTGGCAACAAATTTCACCATTCCAGTTCGAGTCTCGTCCTCCGAATAAACCCACGTGAATAGGGGTGAAGTTGTAGAACTGGCGCTTGGACTATCAAATTGTAATTGTGTTTGACCAGCTGGAAGAAGTCCATGTCTGGCTGCACATGATTTGTAGTGGCGGTTGAGATGAGTGGTACCAATTCTTTTTTGCCATGTCAATCTTTGTTGGCAGTATTTACATACTGCTTTAGATTTTGCAAGGCCATCAACGACTTTTTCCGTTGAAATCAACTTAAAGTGATCTCAACATGTTGCTTTTTTTGGTCTTTCGCTTTCCCCTCGCATTTGGGATATTTAATTGCTGATCTTCATCTTCATGTTTCGCTTCAGGAACGTTAATATCATCCAAATAAATTGGAGTGTGGCTTCCCTGACTATGAATGTGAACATCTTCAGGTATCGGTATGTCATTTAGACCGACAAATTCATTTGAAAATTGACTTTGCGGCGTCCTAGGCGATTCTTCATGATGTGGAAGTGTCTCACATCCTGTATCGAACAAGCTCTCAACAAATGAACGTTGATCCATTTCTATGATTGTTTATGAAGAAACTTGACTAAATGAATATAAATGTAGTGACATTGTGAGAATTGAGAATTGGATGAATTGAAATTGTAACTAATAAACTGTAAAAATTGAATTGATATTGTATATTTTGCAGCACAAGAAAGTAAAAACTCAATAATTGATATAATAAAAGAGAGTTGAGAGGGTTGTAATCTTAGAAGAGCAATTGATATGAAAAAAAATCTTTGGGGGAAGGGGGTATTTATAGTAAAAAAAAAGGGTGGGGGGGGGAATAAAATAAAATAAAAGTTCAGTGATCAAATGGTAACTGAAGAGAAGTTCAGTGACCATAACGGTCACTGAAAAGTGGCCAAAACGGTCACTTTTGTGACCGTTTTGGTCATGGGCTCCACAAAGTGACCGTTTTGGTCACGGGCTCCTCGTGGCGCCCACGAGCGGCTCGTCGACGAGGCCCGCTTGGCTCGTGCTCCAGCTCGTGAAACGAGCCCAAGCCGTCCACGAGCCTCTTTTTCACGAGGCGAGCTGGCTCGGCCCAATTGACATCCATAGCTACAGACAATTGAACATAGCAAAATATTGTCTTTATATATATGTGTGTGTGTGAGAAATCTCTTTCTTTTTTATTTCACAGCTGAGCAAGTCCAATATTTTGTTTTGGGGGGATTCATTTAAGAGGTTCAGTCAAACAAATTTTTTTTTTATTTTTAAAAAAAGGCTATGAACTATTTTTTTTATTTAGATAGCCTTAGGATACAAAGAAAAGGGAAATGCAATTTTGAAATTACTAAAATATCCTTGTATGTAAAAGACATAATGCCCTAATTTTCCTTTCAATTTTCATTTAGCCCTAATTCAATTTTGATTTCCTTCTTTTCACAATTTGATAGGTCATTTTTTTGCTATTCTTTTTCTTTTTTATCATCTTTTTTTCATGAAATCTCAAAATATATTATTGTCATTCTCTTAAACACTCACTTGGTTGAAGTAAGTAATGAAAGTTTATAATATTCTTGATGGGTATTTGAAGAAGAAGAGAATGTAATGTTAAATTTCAATATTTTGGCTAAGTTTCTGAATTTTTCTGAACCACATGTTGTGATTCATGTTTGTGGTGTTTATTTGTTAGTAATGGCTTTGATTTTTGATTTTTGTTTTTTTATATCATCGAATTATAGCTTTGATATGGGTTTCTTTCTCAATTTCTCATTAGCTCTTATTTTTTTAAGTGAATATTTAGGAAAACACATGTTTGGTTATTCTATTTGTTGTTCTACTATGAAACATGTATTTCATTTTTTCCGTCCAGAATGTTTTACATGTCGTTTTCTACAAACCATAACGACATAAATCTCGTTATCAATAATGTACGAAGTTTGATATTTGATAAAAAAAAAATCTACAATTTTTATGTTAATTGCAATTATGGCTATCATGGATATATTATAGATTCAATTTGTTATCTAGCTGAACATGAGCAATTAGTTTGAAAATGAAAAAATACAATGAATGGCAAAGGGGAAATATCTGTCATTCTTGTTTTAAAAATAATTTCTTATGTAAGTTTGTATAAAGTTAGAGAGATGTTAAAGGTCGATACAATGCTGTACCAAATGGAGATGTCAACTTTTGTCCCTATAATGTCTAAGGCTTCAACTGTAAAAAAAAAATTA